GCTGCGCTTACGCGAGTGGTGCAGTAGAGCACATTAGGCAGTAGTATTGATTACACTGTTGGACGTAAGAGACACTCAGGCATCAGAGAACGATTATACAAGATCACAACTAGGATCGTCGTGCACTAGTGCGCAACCGTATGAAGTGCTGGCGGAGGCAGGATTTCGTAGCAAATGGCACATAAGCTGTTGTACCTCATGTGTTTTCTACGGCTCGTCACATGGTCGTGCTCGCACCATCCGGTACACCACGTGCATTCTTAATGTTGGCATCCGCCAGACTCGGCAGCGGTGCGAAGTTCGGACCGACTGGCCATTCACCCGGTGCCCCATCGCAACCGGTTACCACCAAGCTCAGACCACCCATTAACCCAGAAAGATTGCTGATGTGCAGAGCAGCTGATGGGTAGGGCCTGCAAGACACTTTATTGCCATGTACAGGTCGCTCGCTGCATTAGCAATGAGGTTGGCCGGGCGGGTCAGGCCGTGGCTGGTTCCGGGTCGGTTCACGCCGCGGGGATCTTGTCCGCCCGTTTTGGCTCGCTGTCTGCACGTTATATCAACATATCGGTGTTGATGAGGTGACCAGGTGATGTCACTGCAGTGCCCAGGGACGACGGCCGTGTGTTGGATCTGGTTGGATCTGGTTGGATCCGAGAGTCGGGGATAACCACTTCAGCAGTTGTTCTCATTCCCTGGGCAAGCGGGTCACCTTGATGCAGGTGCAAGCTGGATGAGCAATACGATGTAGCAAGTAATTAAATCAGCGAACACGCTGCTTGGCATCCTCGTGCAGCCAGTTGCAGGCGAGATCGTCACCAGTAACGACCACTCGTCACGCGATGGTCATGCAAGTGTTCCAGTTACCCTGGGCATGGCTGTGCCCTCGGGGTGGATGCAGAGAAATCTGTGTGGTTCGGACAATAAATAGCTTTATGCTGTCTGTGTCCGTGCGAGTTATGTTGCCTAGAGAGTTAACCCAGGGTGAAAGCAGGCTGGTGTGCAATAAACGGTAATTTAATAGCCCCTTACGACAAATAAGTTAACTCTAATATCGCATGCACATGAATAACACAGCTGCACACAACTTGTGGATCGCTACCCCGTAAGCAATAGTTGGCAACATAAAAACAACAGAGAAGCCTGTGGCCAGTAATCAGTCACATAATATAAATTTGTTCCCAACCATCAGTAAGTCAAGAGGCTTATGTTTGAGTCCGTAAATGTCCCATTTGTCAGTGTTCAGTGGCAGGTCACGTTAATTTTTTAAGTTTCTTAAAGCTCTGGAAGCTGATGTCTGACTGTCCCATCTCCAATACCCGGCATATGTGTAGGAAGCACAGGCGCTATGCGCTTGCTATATGCCATTATGTACTTGATGTACAAAACGAAGCTTCTCTATGTGGGCAGCATCTTGAGATTAAACTGAACAGTAAGAAGCTGATAAGTGGGAGATAGCTGACTTAACCGAACTTATCAATAGCGCACAACATTGCTGCCAAATCATGTCCCCAGTTCATCATCAATCTGCACAGATCCACACATAGCATCAACACGTGGTTCTGTTTATCACGTACAGCGGCGCAGGCAGGAAGCACAGGGGGCACGTCCCCCACCCCCCCCCCCCCCGCACACCCCATTCGCCTTAGGCACTGATGATTCTTCGGGCTCCTCGGGGCCTGCGATTAAGAGTCTGATTTGAGGGTCAGGCTTGAAAGACCTTTCGGAGGTCGTATCCAGGGGCATCCAATGCCAGGCAGAGGACCCTGTGTGCTGGTCGGGGGGGGGGAGGGAGGGGGGTTGAGTAGCTGCTTTAGACCGCTACTGTAGAACAGCAAGGTGTGCTCACACGTTTTTGCGTCTCAGTCATTTTTTCCGCACCGCTGTGGTTCGGGCTGCCGAATAGCCCCGCACACTAGCCGATGCATTGGCGTGTTGCCTACGCCATATGTGAATAAGTCAATTCGGCTTTGCCATCCGAAGGCATGAGTAAAGCCAGCTGCGCGAAGAAACAGGTGCAGGGCCTAGCTGGAACTTTGCTGTCGTCTCACTACAATCGCCTTTGCCCTGTGTAGCTAGTCCCTGTCTGCTGCATGTTCATTGATGCGCCAAAATATTTGGCGTGCGGAAGACCACCGACCAAAAACCCAGACTTCCAGGCCATCGCAAAGTCGACGATTTTTCGGCAAATAAGCGCGGCGGTTCGCGGCGCCGACGGCAGCGACTTGTGCAATGTCGGACGTGTGGGAGGTTCACAACCAAACTGATGGCACATGTGGAAATGTTTCGAGTGGATATTGGTCACCGTGAGTGAGGCTTTGCGTCAGTGTCACCTTTACGGTTCGAGCTCGCTGGGTGTAGACGCCAGCGGACTGCATTCGAGATTGTGCTTGTAAAACGCGACATGGGCCTCTTCCCTGTCGTCCGCTTGCGTCGCTGTGGGCCTGAATGTGTTGGGCTGTTTGGGTGATTGTAGACGGTCCACGCGCCTGCAGGGTGTAGGTGTTTTCTCGTCGTTATTTTCCCTGGTTGCCTAAATCTGACACAACTCGTGAAAAATGCCTCAAAACCGTCGAGTCTGTGGTTTCCGCACGACCGCGCATGTACCTGAGCAAGCGTGGATTCGCGGCTTGTCTGCACGATTGTCCGTTTCTTTCTCGTCTATAGGTGCTAATTCCATTCCGTTATGAACACCCGTTGCGCAGCTGCCAGCCGCGTTTTGCCAAACATTTCGGCGATTTTTGGCAACTTTCGAATTTCGCGTTTTGCGTGTTAACACGCGCCCAGGAGGGGTTCGATTTGATCCCCGAAGGTTTTCCGTCATGGATTCAGGTCATGGATTCGGCGAAGTTAATGTCTAAGGAATCGCTCAATCCGATGCAACAACGAAGTGTTAGACGAAGCCATAGATCTCTGAGATAGCTTCTAAGGCAATATAACAATTGAATGAACAAATTCCACTGACTTGGAGTCCGGTATGAGAGTCAGACCAAGGTCAGAACCAACCGATTTTAGGACGCTAGAGGCTGCTGTGAAGGTAGTTTCTGGTGCTCATTTCGAGTTTATTGATAGCAGGGACCGCATAATACATACTTCATGAACTTTTCAAAGGTCAGAATAGGTCACTGACCTAGAATGACCCGGACAAGCATTTTGTTGTTGTAACATACTGTCTAACGTAGTCGTTGTCCCTTATCACAATGCAAAAATCAAAGCAGACCTATATTATTTTGGCCACAATGACCTTCTGAAGGCCAAACCCGAAAAGAGCGCTTGGCCTTTTGCTTAGAACAGGTATCTAGGTTCGGGGGCACTATGGAGAGCAGCCTGGAGTTTGACCATGTTTGACCTTTTTTGACCAGAAAGTCATAAGCCAGGAATCTCAAACTCTGACCCAAGAGAGTTCACAGAGTTCAGAGAGTACAGGCCAACACACCCTGTGAATTGAGTGTCTTTGTGGGGGGGGGGTCAATTTGACCCTCCCCCTCAGAGATCCCGAGAACTAAGAAAGCTAGAAGCACCAAATTTACCGGGTGTCTTGACCTATACGCGTACTCAATTAAGTCAGAATTCGAGCTCCCTAGGTCATGAGCTTCAGGTTTAATAAGGTCAAACGTCAAATCAAGATTGGTCTCAAAAGTGCACCCAGCACCTAGACAAGTACTTCTAAGCAAAAGGTCGCAAGTCCATTTGAGGTCAGTGACCTTGTTTGACCTTGTGAAGGCTATGGTGACAAAAATAATACAAGACTGTCCTGAGTTTTGCATTTGAACAAGCGACAAAGATTACGCTATGCAGTATGTTCCTAAAACAAAATGTTGGCCCGGGTCATCCTAGGTCAATGACATTTTCTGACCTCTAAGAAGTCAATGGACGATGTATAATGTGGTTCCTGGTATCAATTAACTCGAAATGAGCACCAGAAACTATCCCATACAGCAAGCCCTAGAGGAACAAAACAGGTTGGTTTTGACCTTGGTGTGACCTTCATACCTGACCTTAGGTCAATTTAATTTGCTCATTCAACTGCTGTGTTGCATAATAAAGCATCTCAGAGATGTATGGCTTCGTCTAACACTCCGTTGTTGGATCAGATTGAAGGATTCCCTAGAAGTTGCCTTCGCTGGAACCATGGCCTGACTTTGACCTGCCGCAGGTCAGCGACCTTGCAAGGTACACCTAAATTGTTTATGTCAAACGATCCGCTATTCAATTTTCTACAGCTATGCAACATTTGGCGCGGCTACGCCTCGCCGTTCGGAAACCATTCTGGAAAAACCTTCGGAGGGTCGATTTGAGCGTGTGTTAAACCAGTGGCGCACTGTGCACGCACCGTCGACGTCCGGCGGTCGGATCACGTCTAACGTTTGATATGATGATGCGCCCCACCTAGCCGTACCGCACAAAAAGTCACGCTGAAATTCTAGAATTTCATTGATTATGATATGGATATTCGCTTCGACAAAGGCATGTAGCCGAAACATTATCTGTATCTATCTGTCTATCTATCAAAGGAGTCGGAGAGAGTCATCTCCTGGGTGCACCAGGTTAGTCTGAGAGGAATAAAGCTAACAGTGCTGTCTTGTAAAGCAAATGTGGAACATTCCCTTAATAACCCGGGTTAAGATCGTGCTTTTTCTTTGAGAAGCTGGTCACATGCCAGTTTTCCCTGGTTTGGTATTTATCGGTTAGACATTTTTGTGAATGATTTATCATTTTAACGACAGAGACCTTTTGTAGATGGTTGGTCAGGAGTCAGAAAAATTGGTTAACATGGTGCCTGCATAAACCCTCATGTGACTTCCACGCCTATCGTTGGTAGCCATTGTTAAGAGGGCAAGGAGGGCGATGAGAATCCCGGATGCTTGTGTGTACAGCTACCGCCCATTATGCCCGCTAGGTCACGTGTGTGCGCGTGTGCGTGTGCGTGTTCGCGGGCGACGCCGCCTCTGAAGCGCCGTTCCCTGGCGGCCGGCTGACGTTTGTTGTCTGCTGCACAGGCTGCTCGGTAAGGCGCTGGCTGACGTTCGCCGTCTGCTTTGCGTGTTGCTGAGAGACATGGCCCTGAAGACGCGCCCGTGGTACCTGCTCGTCGCTGCTAGCGCACTGGTGATGCTGCTCTGCGTGATGCAGCGGAGCAGCCACGAGCCGGTGCTGATGCCGCTGCCCATCAGCTCGGCGCCGCGCGACGGACCCATTATCCCCTACCACGACTCATTCGAGTACCTGCTCAACAATGACGTGTGCGGCGCCGGCGCCGTCGACGCCGTGGTGGTGGTGCACTCGGACACGCGACACCCGGAGGTTCGCAACGCCATTCGCGACTCACTGCCAGAAGCGCTGCTGCGACGGCTCGGCGTTCGCCGCGCCTTCATGCTGGCGGACGCCTCGCAGAAGCTGAAGGAGTCGGAGACAGTCATCTCCCAGGTGCGCCGGTCGGACACCGCAGGCGCACGGCCAGGGCGGGATCGAGCCCAGGCCTATCTCCGGCCGTTCGCTCACGTTCGTTTCCGTTTCCGTTGGTTGGCGAAGTGTGGATGGGCGTTCGTTCTGAAAGTAACAGTGGAGCGAACGCGTGAACGACTCGTGGCACGTGACGTAGGGCTCGTGAACTTGTGCTGCGGTAGTCATTGAAGTTTTGTTTTCTGCGGCATCTGAGAAAAAGAGTAGTATTGTGTAGACAACTCCTCTAATTATCTATTCATTTCGGGTCAGAAGCATTGCTTTCTAAGTAGCGCAGACGTGACGGCTGCTTGATAAATGTTTGGCTATAATTAGTTGATGCCGTCAACTAACTGCCTGCTTTCAGCGTCGTGAATATCACCGAATTTGTGCTCGAACTTCATGAACATTGTGGTTACACCACAGCACTGTCACTTCTTTCCCAACGAAGTGTCTAGCAGCACGCCTGCAGCACGCCCAGACTCTTGAATGACAATTGGCGGTGGTGCGTTGCAGAGCACCGTTGCCGAGGAGAATGCCAAGTACAAGGACGTGGTGCAAGGAAACTTCCACGACTCCTACCACAACCTTACCTACAAGCACATCATGGCGCTGGATTGGGCCGGCACGTTCTGCCCTCAAGCGAGGTGGGTCGGAGTGAGCCCTGTCCGTCTCCTAGGTCTCCGGCAGACGTGATGGGCTTCAGAGGTGCCGCCGTGTCATCTTTCTGTTGATGCCGATAGCCACCAGGCTCTGGCCGGACAAACATGGTGCCTGCAGGTCCGGTGTTCGTTCATGTCATAACAGGTCATAGATCGCGGCTTGCAGTGGACCGCGTTGGTAGTGATGCGTGCCCAGTGACTAATGCCCGTTGACAGGCACGTATGTATCATTGGTGGTCAAGGTCGCATCGTGAAGGAAAGCATTGAAAATCGCACAAAGAAAGTTTTGTCACCGAAAGTCACCGAAAGTTTTGCAAAGCATTTGCCCTAACGTTTGGTGTGGTGCGCGCATTGTCTTGTCTTGTCATTGCGTACATCCTCACGGGCACATCATATACAATGTGGTTAGTACGCGAATGAGAGCAGTTGCATCCATTTCGGAATAAGAATATATTTGGCTATACCCATGAGCTGGCATAAAGCAGCCTGTTTGCCGTTCAGCAATCTTTATTACTTGAGAAGGGTACCAAGGACGCGCTAATGCGTTGGGAAACGCTCCATCTCGCATGGGAAATGTACCTCGGGTGCTGTCGGTCAGCCGCCCAATGATCGTAGCTGGGGGGAGGGGGCCCGACGAGTGGGGAGGGTAGCGGGGCTGTGTCGTTCCACTTCGCCATCGACCATTGATTGGGCGCCAGTTGTCGCCGTCATTGGTGGCCGGCCTACGCTGCAACGCATCGATCCGCCGTTCTCGGGGCTTTGCCCCGCGCAAGATAACTAAATTCAGGATAGCACGCTCCACTCTACCGGGCAATCGGTATCAAGTTGGAAGATATTACAAACAAAAATGATTTTTCTATAGCCTGCCCCCAACCTTTGTTATTGCTGCCGTTGTGTCGGACTATATTTGCACGTTTGGCGCATCGAACTTTAGTGGACTCCAATTGGCTTTCGTGCTATTTTTGTGAACGAAAAGCACAAAAAACGGCCTGACTTACTTAAGTTGCTGAGACTGGCCCAGAGTTCTGGGGTCCGTATCTCACCGACCCCTCCCCCCCCCCCCGCTTCAAACGTTGACATAAGTGTAACAAACGCCTGATTGATGCAAAACAGGCGGCAAAAAATGCGGAACGGACACCGGCCCCGATAAACGGTCCCGAACGGACAGCGGTCCCGATAAACGGCCCCGAACGGACAACGGCCCCGATAAACGGTCCCGAACGGACAACGGTCCCGATAAACACGCAGCCCACACCTGTCCTCGAACGCATCTGGTGTCCGCGTGCTCTCAGAAGCGGCTCCTTGGTGAACCCAATGTTGGGTGGGTGGCCTCCGCCGGACTGGCCATTCTTAAGTGGCCAACCAACGCTGCTCGCTTCATACTGTGGTCTCTGGCCTTTTTGGCTAATTTGATAATCTGCATTATTTTCAAAACAGCTATTGTGAACAACTAAATACCAACAGCTAAATGTCAACTATTGGAGCAGCCCGTGTAAAGACAATGTTGAAGAGCTCTTTTGATTTGATATTGCCAGCCTTGTGACCTTGAAGTATGCTTATCAGCCGCGGGTGCAAACACATGAGTCATGTCGTACAAGGCATCTTCCTTCTCCACCTGAAGTCTTCCTCCCCGGCTTTGGCCTGTAAGGGCTCATACTCTGCTGACCTACTCACCCAGTTCTGCTTCTTCAGTCGTCTGGGTTTTATCACCCCCCTGGCCTTCCGGGAACCCACGGGTCGTGCAAAACAGGTCTGTGGGCTGCTTCGCGTAACGAACGTGGTGCTGTGCACTGGTTATTTTCCACAATGTGAAGTGGCCACCAGCTGGCCATTCTCTGACGGTTGTTTCGCGGATAACAACAGGATCGGCTTGAGGAATCGCCATTACGCAGCTGTAGTGAAAAAGGCATATTGTAAGATATTAAGATGCATGAGATAATGTTTCGTTATATATATATATATATATATATATATATATATATATATATACATATATAATATGCAGGGTCCACGCAACGGCTGAAGCCTCACCCTCCACCGCCGCTGACGTCGTGTGCCCGCTGCGGCAGGGTCAACCTCCAGTCGTTCCGGCTGCGGGGAGCGGCTGGTTGGCGCTGGGCGTGGGCAGAAATACCGGAACAGGTGCTCAGAACTGCAGCCGCCTGCTCTCACACAGACCGGGATGCCCTGTCACAGTCCGGGAGAGACGGGTCTCGCCCGCAGGAGAGGGAGAGGGAGGGGGGGGGGGGGGGGGGGGGAGGGGCGGCGACCCGCGCCAGGAATAGCCGCCGCCACGCGGCCAAGACGCCGCCTCTGCAGCGGCGGCGCCAGAGGAGCGCTCGGGACCGGCTCGCCGGCCGCGGGTGGGGCAGGGCCGGCTCTTTACAGATGTGCGAGTGAGGGGAAGGGGATGGGAAGCGGCCGCGCTCCTTGTTGACGTAGAGGCGGCCTCAGACTCTGTTGGGTGGGTGGCGCAGCCTCGCTGAAATGCGGTGGCTCCGTTTAGTACGGCGTGAATCGAAAATGAACTAAGTGATTATTACACTGTTGAAGCGTCTGCAGCGCCAAACTATCCAACGGCAGAAGTTCTAGTCATGCGACAAGGGACTTTTATGATAGTGGTAGCGTTCTTTCCTCGCCATGATACCTTCGGCCCTCTGTCCTGCTGCTATGGCCCCTCACTAACCAGGTCGCTTGCGCTGACAGAGCTACATCAGTCCCCAGCCAACGAAGCCGGTGATGCTCCCCAGGCTAAGCAGGCCCCGTATGTGGCTGCCATCGACTCAGGCCCCTGGTGTAGCTGCCATTGACTCAGGCCCCTGGTGTGGCTGCCACTGGCTCAGGCCCCTGGTGTGGCTGCCATCGACTCAGGCCCCTGGTGTGGCTGCCATCGACTCAGGCCCCTGGTGTGGCTGCCACTGACTCAGGCCCCTGGTGTGGCTGCCACTGACTCAGGCCCCTGGTGTGGCTGCCACCGACTCAAGCCCCTGGTGTGGCTGCCACTGACTCAGGCCCCTGGTGTAGCTGCCATTGACTCAAGCCCCATGTCACCGCTATCACCACTGTCCAGAACGCTTAAGTGCTGAGCTGATCCGTTCGCTGATGATTTTCCTGACTAACCGCGCCTCGTCTCTCAGCGCTGGGCGCGGACGATGCCAACGGATGAAAACTGGAGCACAGTGCTCAGACGAGCTGCAGGCTTGATTTACAGCGATAAGCCCATCGAAATAGTTTTCTTACGTACTGGAAAATGATTCTGTTGATCACAAGCAAGCCAAATGCTATTAATCTACGTTGTAAATTTTACTCATCGTGTGGAGCCTTTCCAGTCACCATTATGTAACTGTGGTCGCAAAATAGGTTGACCAGAGCACTGCGTACAGGATAGCGGACTTGATTCATCCCGCACCAAGTCTAGAACAAGTCTAGAACAGCCAAGTCTAGAGCAGCCGGCTTGCGCTATCTACAGGGGTGTCACATTGTACACTTTCAGGGGTGTCACATTGTACACTTTCAGGGGTGTCACATTGTACACTCTCGGAAGGGCTGAGGCCCCCCGCAATGCTAAGTTGAGCCCCCCAGTGCTCTTTTGCCCCCCCCCCCCTCCCAATACATATGAGTAAAAGGGGAATACGAAGCCCAAGAAATGCAGCGGTTGTCTGAACTGCGGATACACAAGGTGCCTAAACGAATCACTATCAACATCATCATCATTTGCATATAATCATTATCACTATCACATTGGCCTCGAATGAGAAGTCATTCCTCACCATCAAAACTATTTGAAACCGCCCGCTCTTTTGATGTTTTATTTTGGTATCAGTGATGCAGAACAAAGTGGCCGCAATGAGGATTTGGGAGCAGGTTAGGTCAGCTTTACTGACTCAGCCCCTCTCTCTGTAACCGATTTTGAAAAGTGAAACCCCTGGGTAAGTACCATCATTAGAGTGCAATGAAGGGAAGAATGCAGCTCCAGAACGTAAGAGCGTGAGACGGGAACACAAGGGAGTGAGTCGGGAACATAAGGGCGTGAGGCGGGAGCATAGGGGTGTGAGGCGGGAACATAAGGGTGTGAGGCGGGAACATAAGTGTGTGAGGCGGGAACATAAGGCCGTGAGGCGGGTGCCCTGCTTAACTGATCACGACTGCAAAAAAGCTAGAATTGCGGTATTCTGTTGCGAACAAGGGCGGCGTATTCTAGTGTCTTTTTGCATTGTTGTCTTTTTTATTTTGTTTGCCCGCGAGTTTCGTATAAGACAAGCGGCGTGCAAAACTGCTGAAAGAAACTGGTCAGCGGCATAAGACCGGAAGCAAGGCCCTGGTCAGCGGCATAAGACCGGAAGCAAGGCCCTGGTCAGCGGCATAAGACCGGAAGCAAGGCCCTGGATGTCATTGATGCCAATGGCAGCGTAGAAAAACACGGATCCGGCAGCTGCGCAGCGTCCTGATGCGCATGCGCATGAAATTAGACGTCGACGTGGACGACAAAGCTGTTCCCTGTTTGATGGGCCTCACATGCCGGCGATCAAGGGACTCTCCATCAACCTAGATGGAGTCGCTTCTGACGTGCGGCTCCGCACCCAAAGCAAGATGCCGCGGGAAGGACTCGTCTGGGTCGTGACTCCGCCACAGTGACGTCACGTGCTGTGATCTGTCACAGCCGTGTCGACATGGACGGCGAACTCTGTCGAGGGCAGTGCCTTACGAAAGCATTGTTTCCTTATCTGTACCGGCGCCGCCCGCCATGTGACGGGTCTTTCGGCCACGCCTGGCAGCTACCCATAATGCAGTTTGGGCGAACCAGCTGCACCGCAGCGCTAGCGAGCGCGTGGTGGGACGCAACGGTAAAGTGTGCCTCAGCCATGTCCAGTGGAGGGCCTCTGGGGCGCGCTAAAATAATCCGCACGATGGCGTCTGGCAGGGTCACCCTGACGTACAGCTCAAGTACCACCCATTCTAGTGCAGCGAAAACAGGCGGCGAAAGTAACACACTCGGCGCGGTGAAATGCAGCGGGTTCATGGCAATCACGGCGTGATCATACTGTAGCGAGGTAACAACTCGCCGACCCTATGCTGTTATTGGTATATATTTATGTACTAATATGTATATGTACTAACATAGTATACACACAAACATGTATATATATATATATATATATATATATATATATATATATTTAGTAATAGGTTCAACATCTGCTTGTGGGGCCGGGCTTGAAGAACCGTATCAGGTCCCTGTGTTCGTTTGGCTCCAGGTATATCATCAAGATGGACGACGATATTGTATACAACATCTTCGAGCTGCTTAAAATGCTCCACTTCATCCCGGACACCGGCTACATCGGTGGCAACATCTTCCACGAAGCCGCTCCTTTTCGCAAAAGGTCCAAGTGGATTGTGTCGCAGGAGGAGTGGCCGCGGGACGTGTACCCTCCATACCTGTCAGGTGAGGCATACTTCCAACGCTGCCCGTGAACTCCGGCAGGCGCTGCAGCAAGGGATCGACGGAACGTCTGGCCGCACGGCGTCATGTTGTTACTTGGGCGGAAGCGAACGCCTTTTAGATTTGGATGTATCTTGTAAAATGGAGCGTGGTTCCATAGAAAGAACGCTCATGCCCTTCAATGCACGAAATATTAACGATTTACTTGCCTCAAAAATCATAACAGTCGTATGCACATATGTATGCACATATATATATATATATATATATATATATATATATATATATATATATATATATATAGACTGTCGATCAGGTCCAGGCAAAACAGACTGTCGATCAGGTTTCGGAGAGAACAGACTGTCGATCAGGTCCACATAGAACAGACTGTCGATCAGGTCCAGACAAAACGACCGTCCGTCGAGTCCAGATAGGACAACGTCTCGCACCAACCAAACGATGGGCTGCTACTTGGCTTCCCAGCGCAGCAGCACACCGGTTCTGGAGCCACAACACGCAATCAATTGTCTGGCATTGGAAAACTACTAGGCATGCGATGCAGGGGAGCGCTTAAGGTCACCACGGCTGGCTGCAAGCAACGTCACTCGCGTCATTGTAACCGTGTTGTTCTTGAGAACACGTGATGGGGTGCGAAAGGGTCACGCGCTTACCAGTTAGCGTGTTTAGTGATGGTTGTGTGCGGTATGTCATGGGTCACACACGCTCCGGCAAACAAATGTCGTCACACCAATGTCATGCCTGAAGCGGAGGCCGTGCAATATCGCGTTTCTCATTGTGCGGATACATTGTTTCCAAGATGAGAATGGGCACATAGTTTTGTATTCTACTAACCTAGTTTTACCGCCAAAAAAGAGGTCACATGTGCTGCCGTTTGTGACAGCAGTCCGATGCAGTGCACGCCATCTCTGACACTCCCATGGTTTGGCTTCAGTGATCTGAACTCTTCAAATAATCATGACCTGTGGGGGCCTTGTCCGGCGAGGGGAGGGGGAAGGGAACGGCACGTCTGCCGAGTCTGGTGGTGACCTCCCTTTCTGTGTAGTTTCTGCAACCGGCTGCAAACGCGAGCACAACGATCGCTGCTGCCAGACTGGTGCTGCCAGATGGGACGCATGGGATGCTGCAAACTGAATAGCCAGGAGGGGGCCGCCCTCACGGGATGCACGGCGATAGGAATGCGGTCTGGCGGACGTGAACGTGCTAATCTGCAGTTGGGTTCCATGGGCATACCGTGAGGAGAGGAAGCACACTAGTGACCCCACGTGTCTGTGAGGAGTCAGGTCGCTGGCATGCACTGTATGTCCAGATTGGCAACAAGCCTAAGTGCCGCACTCTGCTACATTCGTGCCCCAATTTCCCCGAGCTAAACGGCCGTCCGTGCTTATCTGCAGTCGGGTTCCATGCGCATATCGTGAGGAGAGAAAGCGCGCTAGTGACCCCACGTGTCTGTGAGCAGTCAGGCCGCTGGCACATGCTGTACGTCCAGATTGGCAGGGAGCCTAAGCACCGCACTCTTCTGCATTCATGCCGCAATTTCCCCGAACTAAACGGCCGCTTGCCGTGAGAAAGACAGCCATGTGTTTCTTTGTATGTCGCATCCGATGATGGATGTCATGTCCAGTGTTGTTACGTGTTGCAGGCTGGCTGTACGTGGTGACCCCAGACGTGGCGCGCGCTCTGGTGATGCAGTCCACGGTGATACCTTTCTTCTGGATCGACGACACCTACGTCACGGGCATTCTGGCTGAGCAGCTGCCTATCACTGTCAGGGACCTGAAAAAGTATGTACCGAACGCATTTTGTCGAACTAGTATAAGCCTGGTGCGGCGTTCCCACAAACTGAAAAGAAAGTGTGGGAAAACAGGTAATTTGCGCTCGTAGTCGAGGGTTGTGTTCCTGATGTGGAAGGAAAATGAAGTTGCCGTACATGCGATTAAGTCGTGGAATTTGCATCGGTGATACAATGACAGTAGTAATGGCTGCTTCCCATTATTATGCAAACCATGTCAAGGGAAACTGTTCAGTGTACATGATATAAAAAGGCGTTCTGTGCATGATCATGACACAGGACTAGAGCGCAATGTGGCACTGTTGTTCAATGGTTACATACAAAAGTCTGCACACTCGCTTTGCTAAGCGACGGAGTTCCTATAACATCATTCATAGGATTCCCTGGCCGAGCCGAACTCTGGCTGCCGCTCTGGCTGCCGCTCTGGCTGCCGGGATGCCTGACGGAGGCCGGGTGTGACGCGCTGTCCACCGGGGACGTTTAAATGCTGCTCTTCAGATTTCCAATGCGGTGGGAGCGTTGTTTTGCATTCCAGAAGCTTAAGAAAACCGCCCTTGCTACGGTCGCAAATGCCAGAGCTCCCTAATTTCGTCATTGCTACCTGGCAATACTGCTGCAATGTGTTGATGTAGCGAGACTCTTAAGGGACTCCAGCACACACTCCGCGAAGCTAGTGGAAGTGCTGTTTTGCCGTAGCAGAGAGCTTCGCTGAAGGATTTCGCACTTCGTAGACCCACCTATGGTACCCGTTGCAAATCGTTTTTCACTGGATGCGCGGAGTTTCTCTGGAATTTCTCAAAGCAAGTAGTTCTGGTAACGCATTTGATCGTCACCATGGCTTAGTTTCTCGCCACAACGAATGAATGTATGATTGAATGAATGATGGCTGCCCGACGTCGGCGACATACGGCGCATGCGTCTTTAGTCGTTTACATAAAGTACTGGCCGTCGACGACGGGGCGGTCAACTGGTGGCATTTTGGCGACAACGAAATGTGACATTGCAACGCTTAAGGTGAAGCTGATGGTTGGACGGAGCGATGCACGGAATGGCTTACAAATGGGCGGCAGACATCGGCAAGGAATCGGTGCACTCGGCGATGGAAATTTAGCCGCGACCCTGGCCAGTTTTAACGACAGCATATGGTAGTTGGCGCCGTTTTTCGAAATGCGGACATTTCCGGCTTGCCCGACGATTACCGGCGCAACCGTGCGGGGTACAAACTCGTGTTGGCCACACGAGTCGTCGGCGGTTCGCCGGGCGACGCTGGGAGTTTGGACTGAGCCTTCACGTACCTGGCTGCCGAGGTACAGCATGACATGCGAAAAATGTAAAGACCGACCAAATTGTCCTCGGCCGCTTCTGTGTACGTGACCTGTAACACGTGCGACCGTGCGCTTGGGACCACGCCACGCGCCGGTCAGTCACCAGCTTAGCGGGTCAACTTCTTGTCACTGCGACCACTGGTTGCCGGGATGTGGCATTAGTGTTGAGCAGCTGCCTGTCGGCTTTGTCGTCGGTCGCATTTTCGAGCCAGCCGAACAAAACCGATGGGGTCTCAAACGGCTTTCCGCCAAGTGCCACGCCCGAACACGGACAGGAACGGCTCGTGGAAAACCGTGCAAAGCCGCCTCGTGCGCCGGCATGTCGGGTCCAAATTTCATCGTGCAGTGACCTGCCGTTTGGCCGCGCACGACGCTACGCAAAACGGGGCACACAGACAAACGCATCTTAAGCAAACCGTTGAAAGACAAGTGTGACTCGACTGCTTCGTCTTTGTCGACTGTTGAGATCAGTTTGAGGTGGATTCACTGTTACTTCGAGCTCCACAATCAGTTTATTGTACATCTCATCACTCGCTGATCCGGGAAATTGGCGAAGGAAACCCGCATATGTACATCATCATGTACATCATGTACATCAGTGTCCACCTCACGATTGGACCGAAACCGATGTTAAGAGATACCATGACAACTCAAAAACATTTTCCTGTTGAGAATAACCTATCTTTACTTCGATAAGTGACTCGTCAAGATTTAATGCCAGATCACTCTTGATTCGCCCCATAGCATAAGACAGCTGAGTATCACATATTAATTCGGTCAAGCCGGTAAACCTTCGAAAGCCCCCTGTCACCATGTGTGAGACAATCGCCGTTTTTAGTGACAAAACAGTGATGCTGGCCACTCGTACTGTTGGGGTCATACATTGTTTTTGGGGCAAGCTTGTGCACAGGCTGGGGAGGCCATGCTAATAATTTTACAAAGTGGCAGCATAAACAGATAGACACAGCGCCAATTAAAACCCGAGGCAAATTGATATAGCGTGCACAGGTGCCGTGCCTCATCGCTAGGTAACCAAGCCGGTGAGTACTCAAGACGAGCAGAAGCCAACTTCCAATAACCTGTTTTACCGATGGCGAAGCAGCTTGGCGACGGCGGTTTATTACGGACGCTCACGTGCAGTCAGCCATTCTGCTTTAAAACTTTGTGGTGGCGAAATACTAAATATAAATGTGCTTATTAAAAATTAATGTTTAGGTTATGAATACATAAAAATTAGAATAGTAAAGTCATATAAAAAGTCTACATCAGGGTGTAGAGAGAGAGAGAGAGAGAGAGAGAGAGAGAGAGAGGAGATAGAGAGAGAGAGAGAAGAGAGAGAGAGAGAGAGAGAGAGAGAGAGAGAGAGAGAGAGAGAGAGAGAGAGAGGGTCTAGGTCTAGGGGGGCGAGGGCGAGGGCGAGGGCGAGGGCGAGGGCGAGGGCGAGGGCGAGGCGAGGAGGAGCGAGGGCGAGGAGCGAGGGCGAGGGCGAGGGCGAGGGGCGAGGGCGAGAGGCGAGGGCGAGGGCGAGGGCGAGGGCGAGGGCGAGGGAGAGGCGAGGCGAGGCGAGGGCGAGGGCGAGGGCGAGGGCGAGGGCGAGGGCGAGGGCGAGGGCGAGGCGAGGGCTGGGCGAGGGGCGAGGGAGGAGGGCGAGGGCGAGGCGAGGGCGGTGAGGGCGAGGGCGAGGCAGGGCGGGCGAGGGCGAGGGCGAGGGCGAGGGCGAGGGCGAGGGCGAGGGCGAGGCGAGGGCGAGGGAGAGGGGGGCGAGGGCGAGGGCGAGGCGCGAGGGCGAGGGCGAGGAGAGGCGAGGGCGAGGGCGAGGGCGAGGGCGAGGGCGAGGCGAGGGCGAGGGCGAGGGCGAGGGCGAGGCGAGGGCGAGGGCGAGGGCGAGGGGCGAGGGCGAGGGCGAGGGCGAGGGCGAGGGCGAGGGCGAGGGCGAGGCGAGGGCGAGGGCGAGGGCGAGGGCGAGGGCGAGGGCGAGGGCGAGGGGCGAGGGCGAGGGCGAGGGCGGGCGAGGGCGAGGGCGAGGGCGAGGCGGGGCGAGGGCGAGGGGGAGGGGGAGGGGAGGGGGAGAGGGGAGAGGAGAGAGAGAGAAGCTCGCGCTGGTGTAGTTTTTGTTGACTAAATGCTCACAGTTTTAACAGCAGCGTCTCGTGTACGGCGACGTTTTTCAAATGCCAACATCCGCGGAATTCCCGATCATGTCCTCACATCAGTGCGTGACACAAACTCGTGATGCAAGTGACGTTGAAACCGATAAATTTGCCAACCTTTTCAAACATACTTCCCGACTCTACCTGTGATGGGTGCCGAGATGTGCCTCAAATCAAACCACAAAAAGCGCCGAAAATGGTTAATAATTTTATCTTTCTAGCTCGTGCGCGCGTGATACGTGCCACGTGGCACCACACACTCCGACTTCTCGTTACCGAGATATGTCTTCTGCTTCTGACGGCCACTTGCTGATTTTTGGGGGGGGGCTTAATTTTTTGCGCCGCACATGCAAAACCAATGGGTTAAAAATACCATTGGTAATGTGCGCCGCGCAACACCTGCCGACTGCATGGGGTGCAGACGGGCCAAGGCAAAAAAAAAACAACTGACAAACAGACAGGCGCATCTTACACAGCAAGTAAGATTTTAAAAATGTTTAGTCGTTATTCAAGGTTCCACGCCGTTGACCTTTTCCTTATGTTGAATTCCTTCGCGGCAAAAACCCGGTCATTAGTGTACGAGAAGAAGGTGGCTCGATGAAGGCGTTAGTTGATCCTTGCATGAAGATATTCCTTATATATTTGTGAACATAATATTGTAGTTTATATTTAAGTGAGTACACCACTAATACATTTAAGAAACTAATGTTACTCTGTTACGTATTTTTAAGCAGTATTGCGGGGAAAATTGAAATTTTGGTCTCTCTCTCTAATTCCAACTGACTGACTTCGGGATCATCTCTACCTCTTTTCCAGTCTTGCGCGGGCAACAAGATGAAAAACGAATTCGGGTACGCATTAAGAAAATCTAGTAAAACCTAAAAAAGTTACACAAAATTTAACGTACGCATTCCTTTGAGGCAACGATAGGAAGATAGGTGGCCGGTGATACATTTCAGGCAGACAGATAATACAAACCCTGACAAAAGCACTTGCAATACATTCACGATTTAACACGCACCAGGGTGGCCGGCTAGAAACCCTTCGCTCGGGTGGGGGAGGGGGACAATTTGACCACCCTGAGATCTCAAAAACTAAGAAAGCTAAAGGCACCTAAATTTACAGGGTGTGTTGACCTGTACGTGAACTCACTTAGGTCAAAGTTTCAGGTTCCTGGGAATGACTTTCGGGTCAAAAAGGTCAAGCAACGTCAAGTTCCAGGTTGGCTCTCCAAAGTGCCCCCAGAACGTAGATGACCGTTTCTAAGTAAAAGGTTACATTCTCATTCAAGGTCAGTGATCCTGTTTGACTTTGTGAAGGTCAAGGTGACCAAAATCATGCAAGATTGCTTTGGGTTTTGTATTTGACTAAGCGACAAAGATTACGCTAGACAGTATGTTCCTAAAACAAGATGTTGACCTGGGTCATTTCAGGTCAATGACCTATTCTGACCTCTAAGAAGTCCATGGAAGATGCGTAATGCAGTTCCTGCTATCAATAAACTCGAAATGAGCACTAGAAACTATCCCATAAAGTAAACCCAAGAGTAACAAAACAGGTTGGTTTTGACCTTGGTGTGACCTTCATACCTGACGTTAGGTCAATGTAATTTGCTCATTCAACTGTTGTGTTGCCTAATAAAGTATCTCAGAGATGTATGGGTTCGTCTAACGCTCCATTGTTGGATCAGATTGAAGGATTCCCCAGAAATTGCCTTCGCTGAAACCATGGCCTGACTTTGGACCTGCCATAGGTCAGCGACCTTACAAAGTACATCTAAATTGGTGATCCCAAACAATCCGCTCTTCAATTTTATACAGTCATGTAAAATTGGGCGCAGCTACGCCGCACCGTTTGGAAGCCATTTTGGAAAAACCTTTGGGGGGGATCAGATTGACCCCCACCCGAGCGCTTGTTAACATCCGCTCAATATAGTTTTCGTTGAGTTTTACCATGTCATATGACAGTAAGCTGTCACCGCACTATGCGTATGTATCATGTGCTTGGTTATTCTACATGGCTGTATTGATACAGTAGTGACTCATGCCGTGCATCGATTTATCGAACTAAACGGGTAACTTGGTCGTGATTTTTTAGCATTTGTTGGGGTTTCGTAACTGTGTGCTTGAATCTGTTCTCCATATTCTTGTCCGGCCAAAACCAACCAAAAAGAGACGGTCCGAAAGCCCTGGTTCAATCAAAGCAGGCTGATTGAAATATTATCTCCTTACGTTAACTATGTCTCAGCTCAACAATATTTCCAAACTCATCCAAAAAGTGTATCTGAAAACACCAGGAAAACGTTTAAAATACTAGCCAAGAAGTGCTTGGTGTACCACATGCGCTATTAACGGCGAATGCCAGCCAAAAGCGGTTGATGGTCTAATGGAGAATATGGATGACCTGATGACAGCACGCACGATACAATTTGCAACATGGGCGGTTTGAGAATTTGACCTATTGGAAGAAAACGCGGACGAAAGCACAAAAAACGGCATCAGGTCAGTTGAAGAACGAGGCAGATATGGAGCCCAGCTAGGTTTCAATTCACGGGCCTGTCTCCAGCAGTAACCGCGGGCGAATTTGTCCGAAACTGCTGCCGTCAAAGGCGTTGACCCTTTTGAAGGCAACAGCAATACATGAGGACCATCTATGGCACATTTGTTCTTCAAGCCGTGCCTGAGACCTTATCCTCTTGACCCGCTTTTCGCCTGGCTCTCCCTCAGGATGTACGTCACGTTGAGTAAGTGCATCGAGTTGACGGTGCAACAGACCTTTAGCTTGGAGAAGCAGAGCCCCAAGCCCGTCTTCAAGCCCAGCTTCGTGGTCGGTCCCACCGACAGGAACTTGACCGCCCTGCGAGACTTCAACAAGCTGACACGCTACTGCCACATCTATCATTGCGACGTGAGGGCCCGGCTGCCGAACTGCAAAAACACGTTGTGATCGGCGGCTAGGGACGGTAACAGGTCGTGTCAGAGGTCGTGTCGGGCCGTGCCGGACATGTGTCGGACCGATGTCAAGCCGTGGTGGACCGATGTCGAGCCGTGTCAGATCGGTGTCGGACATTTGCGAACCGATGTCGGGCCGTGTTGGACCGTGTCGGTTTGTGTCAATTTGTGTCGGACCAATGTCAGGCCGTGTCATTGTGTCGGACCGTGTCGAATTGTGTCGGACCGATGTCGGACCGCACCAGACCTGTCAGACGTGTCAGCGGCGCGCGGCAGCAGCTGCTGATGATCTGATCAGCTGCAGCAGCGTCAGCAGCCGCCGCTGATGATCTGCCGTGGCGCCTCCGGCTTGCTGGCCGCGCGCGCGAGGGCCGTCGCGTCGCACTGGGGTCTCCCGCAGAGGGGCGGACGGGTGCGCGGTGGACGCACCGCGCGAGCCTCGCCCGCAGCCGGTGATTGTCGGAGAAAGGTCACGGCCACGGCGACTGTGCTGCTACCTGGCTGTGTAACAGCGCATTCGATCTCAGACGCGTCTTGCGCTTGTGGCGCAGCCACAGCGGCGGCCGGTGTGGAGCGAGTGAGTGGGCGATCGACCGACGTGACTAAAGCTGATGGACCTCGCCGCGTCACAATGTATCATGTTTGTACTTTTCGGCGTGCGCTCCTCTAGTGGTTAGTGCTGGAAAGCATTTTTGCGTATTTGGAATATAGCAGGGCGCTGTCAGGGGGAGGGGGTAAATGCCTTAACCGCATGGCAATCGTCACAATATTTATTTGTACTTACAGAGCGGCAATGTGCGCACAAATGATGTATGAGCCGTGATATATGCCGGTTGTTTGTTGACACTTATTTGCGTAATCGCCGCGGGTAAGTTACGTTCCTATCGTTTTATGCACAGCGAGCCTCTCCAGTGATTTGATAGCGATTTTATGGACGCATTTAGACCAAACGGCGGCTGCCGGACGGGCGCTAGGCCGGCCGATTTATACGTGATGCGGCTCTCAGCCCAGCTGGGTAAGACTTTTGGAAGTGTTTCGATGTTATTTTGGTGTGCCAATGTGGTTAAACGTCGTCGGTACTGGTGCGGCTTAAGGTGGACGGGTGCTAATTTTTTAGCTTGTCCGGTTGCGACTACGCGTGGTTGTGACAATGGCGTGGTGACTTAAGCGATGGCGTGGTGACTTGTGGCGTGGTGACTTAAGCGCTCCCCTGCATCGCATGCCTAGTAGTTTTCCAATGCCAGACAATGATTGCGTGTTGTGGCTCCAGAACCGGTGTGATGCTGCGCTTGGGCAGCCAAGTAGCAGCCCATCGTTTGGTTGGTGCGAGACGTTGTCCTATCTGGACTCGACGGACGGTCTGTTTTGTCTGGACCTGATCGACAGTCTGTTCTATGTGGACCTGATCGACAGTCCGTTCTGTCTGGACCTGATCGACAGTCTGTCCTGTCCGAACCTGGTCGACAGTCTGTTCTGTCTGGACCTGATGGACAGTCTATTATATCTGGACCTGATCGACAGTCTTATCTGTCTGGACCTGACCGACAGTCTGTTCTGTCCGAACCCGATCAACATCCTGTTCTGTCTGGACCTCCTCGACAGTCTATTCTTTTCGGATCTGACAGACGGTCTGTTCTGTCTGGACCTGACCGACAGTCTGCTCTGTCCGAACCTGATCGACAGTCTGTTCTGTCTGGACCTGATCAACGGTTTGTTTTGTCTGGTGTTTCCACCTCTCACGCTGTGTCTCACCTGGCTTTTGCTCACCATTCCTGCCCGCAAGTTCTTCTTACCATTGTCAGGACCCCGATCCCTCTCCTGGCCTCGTTTTTACCAATCCTAGTCTCGATGTCGTTAACTAGACGTTACCAGTGTGACCATACTCACACTATGTCGGCAGGAATCAATGTGACGGCCCACAAGGGCTGCCTGACCATCGGGAGCACAATCTGAACGCACGGATGTACCTTGCGTATTGGTTTTCCGGGCCCTAGAGACTGGGCCTTGCTTCGCTCTATCAATATGACTGGTTGTCTCGGGCATCGCCCGAACCGGAGAGGCGCGCAACTCGATAAATGGCGCGTATACTTGATAAAAGCCGTCCAGGCTCACGATGGTGACCTGACTCGGCCGGCAGCGGCCACCGTCCGACTGCTGCAGTGTCAGGTGCTGCTGCAGCTGCAGCTGCAGTGTTACCACGCGTCAGTGTCCAATGTAGCGCAGGGGCAGCGCCCACCGCACTGGCAGCAGTATAGCGTTCTGTCGCACTGGTCACGGGTCAGGCCAGCTTTGTGTGATGCGCCAAGCACGTACAGAATTGAACCTGTGTCAGGCAGTGCAAACCCACTGGGTTCAGGTCGAGTTCGGCGGCGTCCATCAGGATGTAGCCCGCTGGGAGTTCTGCTCGTGATGTGGTTGCGTACTCTCAGGTGGTGGTGTCATTGACGAACGTGGAAGTTTTAATGGTGTGGGTTTAAATACAAGACCGAGGAGTGTCCACGCTTGTGTTTGTACCTGTACGAGTGCTGACAAAGGGCAAGTCCACACGAACGCGCGTGACTATCACTGCCCACGGTCAGAGGGTCAGGAGATCGCGAGTTGCACCACTGGGTGCAACTCGCGGCCATCGCAAGACAGGAGGCTAATCATACGACGGCCAGTCACGTGTGACTGACAGTCTGCAACAACTGTATGGCAGCCGGGTGAAACTGTGCCTGCGTAGCGACTTTAGAACGAGAATGCCGATCGCAAACGCCATCAGCCTTGCAGGCGGCCGAGCCGTGCGCGAGACTAACCGGCCGCGGCTGAACCAGCAGGCCCGGCGCCACCAACACAACACCAAAGCACTATCAACATAACAAATCAAAGGGGCTTTCTTCGCACACGGGCTCCGCTGCATGACTGAGGAGATTCTGGCGAACCTCAGAGACGAGTGCGCGTGCCACGCCCGACGGCTGACCACGCTCGGATGTGACGTCAGGGTCACCCGATCCACTCAGGTCAGCGGGACGGACACGGCAGCCAGCGCTGCAAACCAAGTTTACAGTACTTGCTGACAATGTGCCAGATGTCATAAGTGTGGCGAAACCGCTCTCGGGGACCCGCCTGCACAAAGACACAGACCTGCTTCAGCTGTGCGAGTTTATCACACGCCAGCTGTTTTCAGCGCATTACATGGCAACAGGACAGAGAAGTTTGCTCAGAAAAGGTCAAGACAGATGCGTCCCACAAACAGGCGCGAAGCAATGTCGAGGCAAAAGTCTGCCGTCTTCCACAGAATCATCGCACAAGGAGCAAAAATAAAAGAAGCGTGTGGTACACAGTGCCTAGACTGAACCGACTTACCAAATGTCTCTCCTGAAAATGTGTGCTCCACTCAAAACTGCATCGGTTAGATCAAACACATAATCCCAACAGGCGCGTTCCCTCGAGCCGGCCCTGGTCAGTCGTTAAAATGCGCAGCCGCGTGTGCCCTGCCGTCCCCAGGCTGGCCGGAGTGCCCGCCCTCCGGCCACGCATGGTACCCGTGACCGGCCGATGTTCAAGCCCTTCAGCTACGAACGGCCAGCAGCCGGGTCCCTCCGGCTGTACGTTAGCCGTAATAAGCCCGGGCGAAGACTGCCGGTGCCACCAAGCGGCGAGGGTGGCCATGGGACGAGCACAGAATGTTTCGTTCGGCTGATTCCCACCATCCCGTGTGGATGGGTTCACGCATCGTTAAGCGTCGTCTCTCATCTAAGGGCATCGCCACGATCTTGTTCCCAAACGATCTGAAATAAAAGCGTTTTTGCCATGTTAGCTCCAACCCACTATCATTGCATGGGAAGCTTGGTTTCGTGCCACAGACTCGTATAGCTTCAACCTGCAAAATCACTCATTTCATCATTGCGACGACACAGTTTAAGCCACAGCCCAGCTTGGAACAACGGCACACACACTGTTAATCGCCACGAAATTTGGTCGAAGATATTATCTGTGCTCACATTAGTCACCCGCGGCCACCAAGGTTGATCGCTCTCATAACTCTGGCTTGTACTATTGCGAAGAGCTATGGCATGGCTTCCGAACGCAGGTGAGCAATATAGAACCAAAAACGAACGCTACCACGCCAACGTGAAGCATGCTTCCCTTGGTCAAGAGGCTGAGCGACAAACACGACGCTTTTATGTATTCACTCAGGCATTATGAAACCATTGTATCGCCAAGAATGCACGAATGGATCAAAATGCCACTTCCATGAGGCCATGCTTATCGATGACGTCACCGGCTGCACACAGTGTTGGAAATGTTTAAAGTAGCCGCCATCACCACCAAGCGCCGAATGAAGAGAGAAATGATTAAGTCCCAAGTAATTTCAGTTGACAAACAAGTACCACAATTTTTGACAATCAAACAAGTACCGACATCAGACGAAGCATTTTTCAGCCCAATCCTCAACACTCACAGATAGAGAATATCGCACTGGAGAGTCCAAACTCTACCAAAATGTGTCATATAAAGACAACTATTGTCCGCTAACCTCTAACGGCGTGAAAGCTATATTTGTGATGCGAGCGCGAGCGGAAAAAGGACCCCCTCCAGGCGATCCCATTCCTCCAGAGGAGTGCGCGCCGGCAAACTGCAAATCGCCCGTCCTGGTCCGTGCACCCGCTCCAGGCAAGGCGCGCCCAGCCGGTGACCAGCCCACACGTGCAATGTCTTAGCGCACTGAACACACGACATGGTGCCTACGACCATCCATCCACATACACGGAAACCGCCATCAACCCGTCGCCTGCGCGCCCCACAGTAGCGACTTTCTTTGATCGGAGTGCTGAGGGAGGTGTGCCCGACAGCGATCATTTCCCAATCAAATTTAACACCGCCTTTTCTCACCGCTAGCACAGCTCCACGATTTACATCCAGATGCAATTTGCGGAAAGCCGACTGGGCCAAAAGTTCACGAACTTTGTTTTGTCAGCTACCATTGCTACGATTCATCAGAACATGGTATTAGACTTGCGATAGATATTTTGCATGCTGCAGCTAGCCTGGAATGATCATTTCTGGCCAAAAAGTCCAAATCTAAGTAACTAACCATGCGGCAGCAGATGCAACATTTCCACTCACAAGACCATCATCTTGGCGCATCCCAATATAGTGGTGAACCACTGGTGTACCAAAGTGCTGCTGCAGCCGGAAACCTGGTCGTGTGTGTGTGTGTGTGTGCGTGCGTGCGTGCGTGCGTGCGTGCGTGCGTGCGTGCGTGCGTGCGCGTGTGTGTGCATATGTGCGTGCGTGCGTGCGTGCGTGCGTGCGTGTGTGCGTGTGTGTGTGTGTGTGTATGTGCGTGCGTGCGTGCGTGCGTGCGTGCGTACGTGTGTATGTGCATTCTTAAGTCTCCAAAACCTCGTTCTTCCGATTTCCGAGTCAGTACATGTACATAACACAGCGACGAACTTATTTGGTGGTCCATAAGCAATTTACGTACGAATTTATCATCTTTTATGAAGAGAATGACCTAGGGGCTATGAAGGACCTAGGCTGCACTCTCCGCACACTCAGCTTGTGACCACTTTGACACCTGCTCAAAAATGGCGCGCCGATTCTAGGGCCCTGGTATCCGGCGGTGGACAACCCCACGTGTAAATGGCGCGCTGCGCAAATGATAGGCAGCCGAGTTCAGTTCGGGCGCGCGGAGCCTGTAACCGAAGGCGTTCAGAGCCTGGCCTAGATCGGGCAGACACGTGGCAGCGCTGGAAAACAAGGGCACGGGAACACGCTGGCCGGTTGGTGATCTTAGTGGATGGTGGAGGGCTAGAAGGTCGCGCTCGTCCAAAATTCCATTAATTTTGGGCTACCAGAACATTTTCAGGGTGGTGGTATTTGTCCGGATTTCTTGGTTCCACTGATAATTCTGGCGTCAAAGTTGAACGTTTTTTGGATACTTTGTTTTCGTGTTTGAGAGCAGCCACCCCACACTGCGAGACAGCATCTTCTGTGGAGATGAACGAACCCGTCAATCGCAATCTTTTTAGTTCCAACTGGCAGCTGGTGGCTCAATTTGGCAAGATCTGCTGAAGTGCTATAGCATCGTTCCTCGGTCACAGAAACCTGACGTTCCCACATAAAGTAAGCATCAGCAATGATCCCAACAACCTTTGCTGGAGGTGAGGATATTTTACGCTTTTGGCTGCTCAAAGTTGGCATCATTTTTTCTCTCATTTGAGTCCAGTCATTTTAAGGGTAGAACAGTTTACCGAGGATTGATTTTAAGACGATGCTCCGCCAACCAGTTTAGTGCGATGCAAGGGTTGTCTATATCCGAACGCGGAGGGCACCAATATTGAGCGAAGCTTTTAATAGAATGAGCGTCGTCGGCATGCATGACGAGTTGTTCTCAAAGAACAAAGGGAAGCAGGTTATTCGTTAACAGTACACGCAAGTTCGGTCATGAAACGGCCTTCTGAACCACGCCGTGCGAGACCGGAAGCGAACTTAGGGCACGTAAAAGATGCTACGAACGGGTCGCAAGCGAGCCTTGGAACCAGGGATTTCCGCTACTTTCGACGCTATCGTGACTGTACCCCATATTCTTGCCCGAGATTATGAACGTCCTCAAGCCCCGTTGAATCTAAGGAATGCCAAACGTCGCTCTGGCAAGTCTATATTTGTCTGTTGAACGCTGCTTCTCTCCTGGGCCAACTATAGATAATGGCTAGAGCACTTTCCGGAGAACGCCCTTCTTTTTCCCTGCCTCATTTACGCATTAGTAGCCAAACCAGTTGGCCAGGGCCACCTATGACATGTTCCCGCTGAGAGCCCTGCTCATTGTAGCTTCTCTGGAAATCACCAGACAGATTTTGTGTATCATGTGCATGCCCGTTTTGTCTCCATCCTCATGGCCTTCTTTCTGACAACACAGAAGACTAGGAGGCACCTGTTTCCTTCCTGGAACTCAAAAATGCAATTAAATCCACCGGCGACGTCTCAGTTGGCAGCAATCAGTTGCATGATTTTTTCCGTAATTTCTCTGAAAACATGATCGGTTTATTTTGACTGACTAATGATCAGCAGTCCTTCTATGCCTTTCCTGGGGCACGGAAGGATACAATTATTTAAGATCATCTGTCGCCTGCTCCAACCGCGAGCGCCTCGACGCTGTGCGCCTGCCGCCGCCGCCCAGCATCGTCACTGCAGGACCCAGCTGTTCGCAAACTTCGGGCCCAGGCTCTGTTCATTAAGGTAGTAACCGGTGTCGTCACAGACGCCCGTCAATGAAGAGCGCTCTGATCAAGCCTCATGCACAATATAGCGCATTGGAATGGTGGACTTGATTATTGCTCGATTGAACAATTATCGGCAAGGTCTGTGGCAAGAACACCATTGATGATCATGACATGCGATCGAGGCCTGCTCATCTTCCCCGCATACCAAGGCCGAGTAATAAGGCATGATCATCGGGGGATTTTTCCGGCACTTCTCCTCACTGTTACAGTGACGTCACAAGATC